ACACACACACACACACACACACACACACATTACTGCAGTGGTCCTGAAAGGCAGATTTAAATGTTGTTCTATATTTTACTTCATTTCCCTAATAATTTTCATTGAGAATATAATGTTTCTAATTAGAAAATGGATTTTCTTCCCAAAAGAGTCTCTTCTAAAGAGCTCATGACCAAACTGCATCCCTTGAAGGCATGTCATCACTAAGAATTTGACAATATGCTAAATTACATTTCAGCTTACTGCACATGTTTTATACGTTGAGAGTGGTGGTAAAGTTAGAAGCTGACCTATCAATGACAAAATGAAGAAATCCTAGTGCAATGTTGCCAAAAATAGGTCCATAGTTAGTTATTTTTAGATCCTCTTTTCTCTAAAAATTTAGAATTGTATTTGCTTAAGGAGGAAAAAAATCTAGTAATTAGGGGCATACATTAGCACAAAAATCAGTATTTCCAGTATATTTTCATATTATGATGTTTGATGCTAAAACAGAATTATTAACTGTGTCAGACAATATCTGCATGTAATGAACTGCTAGTGATTCTCAGCTACTGCAGAAGGGAACTCAGCTCGTATGTGTTTTCAATGCTCAGTACGTTGGTGGTCACAGGCCAAATGTCTGAATGACACTGACTGAGCAGAATAAGAGACGAGGGTTTGACACAGTGGTTGGGGCCGAGGGTGTATGGGGAGCATTTAAAATTTTCAAAGGAAAAAAATATTTAGATGAACAGGCTTCCCCACTATGTATATACATGTTTTCCCCTTTGCTTGTTTATCCTAAGTATGAAATGTGTATTACTGGTGGCATGCAAGATAACTTTATATGGGACAAAACCTCCCTAGTATTATTTTAGCTCTGTGTGTGTATTTTGGGTTGTGCATTTACAAATGTACACTCAGAACCGTTAATTTAACATTTCTTAGATTATTGTGAAATAGGGCTACAGAGCCTATTAATATGAAAACTGAATGACACAACTGTCTCATTAATACAGAATATTCATTACTTTTAAGTTGGAACAAACTCGGCTGACCCTCCCTTGGATTTCGAAGGCTGAAATTTGCACAGGAGATTTGCAATCTTTTTCCTAAGTAACCACTTGTGGATTCAAATTGTCAGAGAGGCTCAGCCTTTGAATAGCAGCTCAACTCCCTGTGGATAAGACCACCAGAGAGCTTTATTTTCCTCTGTAATGAAGGGAAATCATGCCAAATTGTTTCTCCCACTTTGGTCCATCCATTTCACAGAAGAACCCATCTACTTTTGTAAAATGAATAATTCATGTGTGTTCTTTTCTTGGAATTCACATTTAAACTTAATGCCATGCCTTTTTTCCCTTGTTTATATAGTCATGATAGTTTATATAGCTATAGCAGATGATTTTGTTCATTATAATAAGATTTAATACAGGCAATGCCCAGGTTATAAATGTCCCACTTATGCACAACTCTTTATTGCAGGGCTTTGAACCAGTCTGTCATGACTGAAGAAGTGAAACAGGAACACCGCATTTCTACATTTTGGGTGGCTCACCTCGGAGCCTGACTCATGAGACTAGCTGGTTGACTGGCAGACTCTGGAGAGAGACACACATTCAAAGATAGCATGTTTAGCACTGCCGTCTCTGAGTGTGGGGCTTGGCATCGTTAGAGCACCGCTTTCATGTTTTGTAAATGTTCTCTCACTTTGGAATAACTGAACCTGCCCTCCTTTACTCAGGACAAATGCATCATCAGAATCACCTTAACTTACTTTCAATGTCTCTCTCCTCCGACCCTAAAATCTTCTAAAACATTGAAACACCCTTTTCTTGCACTGAAAACCCCAGACGCCTTGTGAACTGACTCGCAGCTTACCTTCCATTAGGTTCCTCAGGCTTAAGTCACACAAGAGGCGACTGCCCAACTTTTGGCTGGGGGACTGGAACTGCCAGAGGTGCCTTTCTCAGCTTAGCACAGTTCTCTATAGATTACACCACTAAAGCTACTTTTTCTTGCACTAACCTAAAAATACCCACCTCAAAGTCAGAACTGACTCCTAGCTGACTCGCCAGTGGTTTTCAAGGTTGTGAATCATGTGGGAGGAGACTGCCTATCTCTCTCAAAGCTGCTGGTAGATTGAAACCATCAGAGAGGCCCAGCATTTGGGTAAGTAGGGCAAATTCCTACAGACTACTCCTCCAGCGCACCTTTTTCTCCACTAAACTGAAATGAAATAAGAACCATATGCACCTGGCCGACTCACCCACAAACTGGATATAAGGAGCAAGTGAAGAATGAATCTTGTTGTAATCTGAGGACTGCCTGTAAATCTTTGAGCATAAAAGTGTGTCTTTTTAAAGACTATCAGATAAATAAGCATACCATCATTCCAAAACTATAAAGATGACTCATGAATGACTAATACAATTTGTATGAAACATGGCATGGGTTAAAAACCCCCAAACAAAGAGAAAACTTACTGCTGAAAGAGCTATTCTAAAAGCATTCTTCATATTACATAATTTGGATTATTTAAAAGTGACAGGTTGGTGTTTTTTTTTGTTTGTTTTCCATTATGCTATAAAAGAAAAGCCTTGGGAAAGCTTCAAGTACAGAACATTACCTGGATTGGTAGACTTATGAATGACAAAAGCTTTGGGTTTTTGCTTATTTCTGTTTTGTATTTGGAACTATTTCTGTGTAATACAGAAAAATGGTTTTTGTTGCATTTGAGAATGGACATACTTACCTGTCCAACTAAGTCCCAGGTGATCGGCTACTATTGCCATCCTGATATCTGTCCGTTCACAGGGACTCTGTGGACCTACGATTTACAATTTCTTAATTAAAATAAGTATCAAGAACAAAAACGACACTGGAAAATTGTTTTAAATAGTACTCAGATTTTACAGAGAGACTAATGCTAACACTGTACATTGAAATGTGTCCTAATCACCTACACAAACACTTCTCTCTTCACATGACTCACTTATTGTTCACCTACATCAGGCCGAATGTAGACTACATGGATGCTCAATGTGATGGAACTGAACATGCTGAGAAGCTATCTACTTTACAACAGTTACAGAATTGCTGTGTTGTGAAAACACCAGGATGGGATGTTAACATTTGTGCTTTTACTTTGACAGAATCATTATCTGTTAGCACAATTAAAAAAAAAGTTGCTTATCTTGAATAACATCAATATCTTCAGCATGCTTCCCTAGCTGTCTACAAGTGTGATTTGATTAAAAGGAAGAAAGAAGAGTATTTACGACAGCACATACAGATGACAATGACAGAATGAGAAACTACGGTTAAGTCACTTCACAGGCAATCACGACAGTTCATGCACTAGAGTCTACAGGTTGGAAAGTGTTTACAAACTAGGTTCGTTCTCCAGGATGTGAGCAAAGAGCGCTCAAGAGACCTGACTGCCTTCATTCTCACCAGTCCTCCTACTGCTCCTTTTCTCACTGCCGGCTTTTTCACTCTTTGATTTTAAAGACGCTGCCTCTGTTTTCTTATCTCTAGCCGACTTCGTTGTGACTGATGGCTGGCCACCCCGGGAAGTCTCGGACAGTGACGTGTTTCTTGAAGTACTGTCTTCCTCATCGGACACCTCGGCTTGCATCTTTTTGTCTTCTTCAGAGAGACGATCCACAAGCTTTAAGGTCTCACCACTAATTCCCTTAAAATATTCAATGGAATGTTTACATACTTCCTTCAGCTGACTCTTCCTGACTTTAACTGTGGTGGAGGTGGGGGTGCTGGGGGTGGGGGTGGTCGTGACACAGGTGGATCTTACCTTTACTGGCAGCTTTGATGGAAGCTGTTTGGCTCTGCCTTTCTCTGACTGCCCTTGCTTTTGTGTGGCACATGTTTTTCTGACTGAGGCTATGGGATCCTTGTGTGCGCTTTTGACTGGAATTCTGGACCTTCCATCTACACAGGGAGAAGTAGTGAGGGCTCTGGTTTTCTCAGGTGCACTGACCTGCTTCATTTTACTCACTTTAATGTTTGGCATATGGTTTGGTGGGTGAGTATCTTTTGGTGAAGTGGCCTTTATGGGAAGTTTGGATTTTCGTCTAATTCCTACCGATTCTCTTGCCTTTTGCTGCTCTCCAGGAACTTTCTGCTTCTCTCTGACACAGTGTCCTTGGAGTACCCCTGTCTTTTTTCCTGATGAGTTTTTCAGGGGATTAGCTTTGTCTGTGGTAAAAGTGGGGGCAGAGTGTTCTGTCAGAACTACATTACTGGTAATGTTATCTGTCTGCATGGTGGAAGAATCCAAATTGTTGTTGTTATTAAAATTATCTTTTTGGAAATCATGTTTTTCTTGCGGCCTAGGGCTTGTCTGGCTATTGGCTGGGTTTGCAATCACTGCAGTCTCATTCTCTCCTCCCTGACCACTGGCCATCACAGCCTCTAACTTCTCTGTAACTTCCCCAGGGCCTTCTTTCTTCATGGTCATGGTCGATGCAGAAATACCCATTTTTATAGGCGTGCGCAACTTGGGATCCACTTTCGAGGTGTTAGTGGCGGCGGCGGTGGCTTTCTCCTGGGAGCCACTACTGGCTGTGCCTTCCTGACATTCTCCGCTGGGCAGGATCCTGGAGGTAGGTTCCACTGGAGGTGCCTCAACATTCTTTTCTAGATTGGGTTCTACAGTGGTGTCCCCTGACTGTGGTTGGAGGGTGTCAGTGACCACACTTTTATCCCCTTCCCCCTGGTCCCCTGACTTCCCTTCAGAAGTATGCTCACCAATCTGGAAAAATTGGAGCCTCTCTTCAACAAAATCCCTCTTGCTCATGTCAATTGCACCACTGCGAGTCATCTCAAACATTTTTCCTTCATGAAATGGGAAGGGGTTAGGCTCACTAGTAGGGGTACTCTCGTCAGTTGGTGTTCTGGCTGGTGTTGTGTCAGGGGTAGTGGCTGGAGATCGGTCTTCCACCGCCAAACCAAATGGCTTAGTTTCGTCTTCCCGGGATTTACTGTCAAATACTTCATCGTCCCCTCGGTTATTAGACCACGGGTCAAAATCTAGACCTTTGGTAGCAACTGTTTTAAAAGGAGTGGCAAATTCTTCATCTACTTTGTAACTGAAATAAGTATCAGGAAACACCGATCTGTCAGGATGTCTGCCTTCTAGTGTGAAAAACTGGGCCCCTGACTTCTGATCAGTCTTATCAGGAGTCCTTTCAGATGAAGAACTTTTAGAAGGCGGCTTGTCTTCATCTGGCCCCACCTTTCCCTCTTCTTCTATGACCTCAAGTTTACTTTGGCTAAATGAGCGGTCAGCTGACTTCAGAATGCCCTCTGTGTTCCAGACGTCTTTCTTCATTTCCATGGTCTGGCTTGGGAGTTTAGAATCACTCTCTGTCAAACCATCGTCCTCATCTTGCAGGTCATATCCATCCAAAGAGTCAATCTCTGTGGCGTCTGTATCATGAGAAAACTCGGCCGTGGTAGCAATGGAGCACTCTGTGATGGACTGGTCATTGTTCCCATTCTGGGCGGTTTCATTCTGAGGCGACTCAAGGCCAAGGCCAAATTCATTGTCTTTTCCTGATCCATTAGTCTCCAATTCTTTCTGGTTGGAAGCCTTTTCAGCAGAAGCTTTGGCTTTGGTCATCTCTTTTTTTTCTTCATCTATTTCTTTCAATTTGAAGGTATATTTCTTAACTGGGACTGGTTGATAAATAGACTCATCATCACTTGAGTCACTGACGTCCGCCCCCGGAGGAACTGGCGAGGGTGGCTGCACTCTGATGACTGGCTCAGCCAGCTGGTACTTGTCGTGCTCGTCTTGCAGATTGACTTCAATCATGTCAACCTCTTTTTCCGGGAGATACAGATGTTTCTCTGCCTCCAGCTGGTCTGCATCCAGTGGAGGCGGAGGGGGAAATTCAATATAGGCAACTCTGTTAGTTTTTGGTCTTTGGCTAGAGTCTTTGCTCACGTCATTGGGCAATTCACGGAGCTCAATGGTGGTGGGCTCTTCCACCATCGTCTGCTTTAAGGAGCTTGACTTGGCTTGCTCCTCCTCCTCGGATTCCTCAGAAACCTCTGGGATTGGGCTGGGTTTGCCTGGTATATAAGCTATGAGCGAGTCTGGAGTCTTAGATGTAAATTCATAACTCACTTCTTCAGAACTGGGAGTTTCTGGGGTTAAAGGGCTTTTCCCAGAGCTGTCTAGAAAGGACACTTGCTCTAGAGTATCATCTTCTGGACTACCCTGGGGAGAAGGAGGCTGTTTTTGCTGTCTAGTGGTATAAAAGGTTCCCCTGGTCTCTTGCACTGTCTTACACTCCTGACTGATAATTTTTTTTACACCTCCTTGTTGAATCTCCTTTTCATATTGCTTCCCCACTTGTACAAAACTCACATAAACAGGTAGCGATTTTATCTCTTTCCCTCCCTCTGTCTGAGCTAGTGGTGCAACTTTATCCAATCCATCGACAGCACTATGGTCGAACACATCGCTAGAGGGAGATTCCTTTCCTGGGCTAAACTCTAAAGAATCAGGAGACTTGGTGGGGGAAGTTTCCGTTTCATCGAGAGGCGGGCATAAGCCTACGTAACTTTGATTTTTGGAAACTTTGCTGGTTTCTGAATAGGTAACTTTTTCTTCTTCTACAGAATTAAAGTGCTGTGTTTCAACTGTCTCTTTACTCATGCGTGACTGCAATTTTTGTGACAGTTCATGCTTTGGAAGTGTTGACTGCTCACAAAAACCATCAGGAATATTAGAAGACAGCATTCGCCTCTCCTCAGCAACTCTGACTGGAATGTGTGATACAGCTGAGGTCTCGCTTCTCCTGGAAGGTTGATCAAGAGATCCACCTGGACGTTCCCCATCTTTAACAACATATTCCCTGTATAAGACTTTTTTGGAGGGCGATTTTACAGTCATTTCCTTAATTTCTGAGAGAGAACCATTTGTTAACAATTTGTGTTCTCTCTCAGTCACAGACATAAATTCACTCTTTTGATCAACACTTTTATTCTCAGGGCGACCAATGTGATTCTCTCTTACATCATGAACAAGTACATGCGAAAGTTTCTCTTTCTGTGACTTATTATTAGTAGCTCCAGAACTTTCCCAGGTTCTAAAAACCTTTTTGTCCCATGGTCCCTTAGTTGCTAGATCTGAGGTTACATGACATGCCAAGTCTTTAGCCTGGGGCTCAGAAAAATAGTCAGGCATTGTATTACTTGACATTTCAGTTCTCTGTTTTTTCATATCATCAGAGCCAGAATCATTTACAACAATTTCATTGCTTTGGACACGCTCATCTTTAGTTTTTAATACCATAAAATCTTTTTGCAAAGATACACTTTCATCTGAGAGGTCTATGGCCTTCTGCTGCTTTTCTCTAGCAAAAACTTGGTAGACAGGCAGCTTGCTCTCCTGTATTTTTTTAACTGGGATTCTGGATTGGCCATCTGTTTTTTTGTCTTCTTGAGGCACGTCCTTGTTTTTTGCATGAATACCTTGTTCAAATTTTAATCTAATGGAACTGAGTTTAGATTGTTTGAGCTGAAACCCAGCCTGAGGACCTTCCAATGCTCTGCTCTGTGAAATGCTTCCTTTGGCTTCCGCTGCGGACTTGCCATCCTCAGTCTGTTGAGAAAGGACCTTCTTCTCCGGGCTGCTGGGCAGACTGGATGCTCTCTTCTCTTCATCTTTGTGCAAGCCTTGTCCATCAGGGCCGTGTTGCCTTGCCTTAACCCACTCATCATTGGACGCCAACAGTTCCATCAGCAGTGCTTTCTCAGGGCTGCTACTGGTAGAGCTTTGAGAAGAGTGTTCTTTGCCATTTCTGGGGCGCTGCTTTTTCTCTGGGGACTGCAGTTCATCATTTAACTTTTCAGTTTTGTCACGAAAAAACTGTGACACTTCAGTCAGTTTTTCTTCAGCCTCCTTCACAGTCCTGTCCACCCTATCTTCATATAGCAACTTCTCTCTACCTCTGTCTAATCTGTCCTCAGTAAAGCGCATCCACATGGCATGTTTTGGACTACTAACATCACCAGAATAGTGCAACACTGTCACTTTATCAAAATGCTCATCTTTAGACACTTTCCCTACACCATTTTCAGACACATCTTTATAGATTTTGGAGAGAATTTCTTTTTTGGGGGCAGTGGCTACTTTTTCTCTGGGCCGCTTATCAGACGCCTGTAACTCTGAACTAGGGGGTCCTGCATGGTCTGTAACAGATTCCTCAGTATCAGAATGAGACACATCTAGCTTTTCTGACAGAAGCATTTTCTCAGCAAACCTGTAAGACTCCCCTCTGAGTTCTGACAACTCATCATCATGGTATTCTATTGAGTGTTGACTCAAAAGCTTCAATGTTTTATAAGAGTCATCAGATATGAGTTGAGCAGAACTAGGGCGACTATCTTCTTCTTGGGACACAGGAGTGTTTACTCTGGAAGATTCCAGATAAGAAGGCAAGGACTCTTCAGCAGTAAGTTCTTCTTCTTCTTGCTGGCCCTGTTCCTCTGAACAAGGGAAAGCATCATGCTTCTCTGGCAGAAAATCTTTTAGGTTAATATCTCCCCGGGATAAGTCTTTCTGATATACATACATTTCCTTCTCTGGATGCTTTTTGGTTTCTCTAATAATGACTTCAGTGGGCTCAGCTTGGTTACCTTTTTCGATGTGGACTTCTATAATACGCTCCAGTTTGGGTTTCATTTGGCTGTTCTCTGCGTGTTCAGCTGAGGTTTCAGCAGCGGACTTGTGAATATCTGGTGACACTGCAGACTTATGTTCAAACAGACCTGCCAGTTCTTTGGAAGGATCCCGCCCGGACTGAAAGGCCTTCATGATGTCATGGACTGACATGGTTTCTTCAATTCTCTCAGAGGCACCTTCACTGCCTGGTGGAGAATGATAAACCGTTCTGGTGGTTGTGGTTATGTGAGTCTCTTCCTTAACACGCATGCCTTTGCTCAAAACTCGGTTGTGGTCGTCGTCTTCACTACTGGCTTTCATCTGAAAGGCTTTCACTTTTTCTTTAATACTAGAAGTGGTGGGCTTTGGCTCTAGTTCCATGAAAGTAGGTGACGGTTTGGGTGATACAGGCTCCTCTGGTTGGGACTGGGGAACATCACCGGCTGAGGGCTCATAGCTCCTGATTACATGAACCACTTCAGTTCTCGTTTCTGTAATGACAGGAGGAATGGGAACTTCATGAAAAAGTGGTTTAGGACCAGTGCTTTCAGCGCTTTGTGGGGCTGAAGGTGTTTTTTCGCTTCGTGTTTCAAAGCCACTGTCAGACAAGGGACTTTTATCTTGGTCATGTTGAGAAAAGTCATCTGGAGACTCTAAAATAGTATCTGTTCCAAAGAAGGAATCGGCCATTTTACATAATTCTTTCTCGGAGGTGGAAGGCCTCATGGAGGCTGGAGGCATTTTGAGTTTGTGTTCCTGCAAAGCAATTGCTGGTTTTAATATCCTTTTCTGTCTCTCTTCGCCATCCTTCTTTGCTTCCTCAAACTTGTACTTTAAGTTTGTCAACGAGCCACTCCCGATATCGTTTGTTAGGTAATCAATGACCTTGGTCAAGTTATAATCCTTTTCAGAGGCGGCTTTGGCTCTTACTTGCACTCTTTCTGGCAGCGACGGAGCATGGCTTGCAGCAGCCTGTCTTGCTTCTTTTATTTCTTCCGAGCTAAATTCTGTCCAGTCGTCTTCAGGAGAGTGTCCTTTGTCACTCTTTGGTGATTTGGGTGGCCCTTTATTATCTACACACACATCCTTTTTAAGGATTTCACTGACTTTCACTAAATCTTCCTTTACTTTCTCAACAATTTTGAAAGGTTCTTCATCATCAATTCTGCCTTCTTTTGGGGGTTCAGTTTGGAATGGCTTCTCTTCAGGCACATCTGTCTGCAGTATTGCTGTCATCCGCATTAGGTCTTCTTTCATCTCAGCCACGTCTTTTAGTATCTCCTGACTGGAAGATAAAGAAGATGGTGTAGACAACTTAAGGGCAGAAGGTGTAAGGAACAAAGATGACTTAATTGGAGATGAAGTTCGATTGAAATGGGGCTGAGGGCGTGTCTCCGTAGTCAATGTTTTAATGGGCGACAGCAAGGCTGCTGCTGATTTTGTAAGTGAATTAGAGTCTGGGAGTTTTTTTAATGCTGGTTCTGGCAAAACATTGACTACAGAGTATACTGGCACTGTTATTATTGATGACGTTACAGATGAGGTAGTTGCAGCTATTGACGACCCGAGGGATGTATAGAGTGCACTTGCGGAAGGAGTTCTTAGAGACTGAAAAGCTGATGGTGCTGAAGAAACATATGACCTGAGAGGGGAAAATGGCATTGTGGTGGTGGTGGTGGTAGAAAACACTTTCTCAGCTGTGTCAGTGGCTGCACTGACCACAGAGCTCACAGAGTTTGTAGCTGTAGAAATTTTTTCTTGTAACGTGGCAGTGGCTTTGCATCCGTTGATTAACGTTGAAGAGGATGGATACTTGAGAGGGGAAATGGATCCATTGACTAATGCCACTTCTGCATGTCCTGGCATCTGTTTCACGGGAGAGGAAAGAGAAGATGCCATGGTGACTTTAGCTGAAGAAATGACATCAGCTGCTGATTTAGCTGGAGAGACCACTGACTTTAAAGGTGACGACATTAGTGGTGCTGCTGATGTGATAATCGACTTAAATGGCAAACTTGAAGAATACATGTTAATGTTTGACTTGGGGGACGCAGGGGGTGTCATAGTAATTGATGACCTCTCCAAAAGAGACCCCGCTGTAGTCACTGGAGAGGTTCGAGAAGCAAACGTAGAATTGGATGCCAGCCCTTTTAAAGGTGTAGCCTCTGTGACTGTGGGAGCTCTAGCCAGGGAACCAGAGGAAACTTGGAGATTGTATGGCGATTGTGACACCACTGTTTTTATCGGTGAAGAAATTGTCCGAAAGGATCTAATTGGAGATGCCACATCACTAATGGATTTAACTGACGATGTAGTTGAGGCGCCTAACGTGGATTTGATTGGAGAAGGAGTCGAAACAGACCATATTGATTTTAACGGAGAAGCTGATGGCGTATTAGAGGAAGAACTTGATAAGGAAGTGAAGCCTGACTTGACCGGCCCAGGCACTGTAATCGAAGCTGTGGTCCAGGACTGGTATGGTCTTGTAGAAAAGAATGGCTTGTATGAGTAAGAGGTGGGGAGGGATCTTGTTGCTCCTGTACTCCGTTCAACTGTTTCTTAAATTTGAAAATGAAATCAAACACAAAAATCAACAAAAATGGTTGAAAAACAGAGAGACCAGAGAAAAAAATTGGTCAGTAAACTTTGAAATATTACAAAAGCAAGTACAATTGTTTGCATGATTTAGAATGGAGGAGGCAAAAGGAATAATCAAGTAAAAGAGAAAAAAAATATTCTATGGACGTAACAAATCCAAAGTTAAAAAAAAAACAAACAAAAAAAAAACCAAACCAAAAAAAAACAACCCAACCCCAAACTAAATAAATTAGAAAAAAAAAAACAACACAACCGAACCAAAAACACCAGAGCTGTGTGGAATGAAAGACAGAAAAAGCACATTGCAACAAAATAGGCCAACGATGAGAAACAGAAAACATGAGAAAAGACTTAATGTTGAGAAAAATAACCACAATGGAAAACGGTTCTCTTACTTCCTATTGACTTTCTTATGTGCTGCTTTTGAAATATCAGTAGCCATTCTGTTTTGCCTGTTTCAGGTCCATGTTTGTTTTGTGCAACCATATGACTCTAGTTTTAGTAATTTCTAACGTACCCTTTCCTTGAGCCTTTTGGTGATACAGATTGCACCTACAGAGAACCATACCAATGTATGTACTCTACATTAACTATCTAAAACTCTTTTAGAAAGCCACTCAAGCCTATTTCATGCAGAATCCAAAATAACTTTTAAGTGACAGGCAACTGATGTGCAAACTGTGAAGCCACTGGATTTTTAAATCTGTATCTTCCATGCACAATTCGGTTATGCTTCACACCCATAAAAAGCCAATAAGAGCAAGAAATTTTCTGAGTCAGAATTTTAAAAGGAAAAACAAAACAAAACCGTAAACAAAGAAAAGGAATGTTTGCATTTCTCTTTTCCATGCAGTATATTCCTTTTGGTGGGGAGAAAAAGAAAAATGTAATATGAAATGGTTTAAAAATGTATGTGTCCACACACATACACAAGGGAAGAGAGAGAAAAAAAAAACAACAGAAAATATGGTTCATGGTTACCATAAGCAAGCAAAGCAACCTAAAACACTTATCATGCGCATTATATCATGGCAAACAAGCCAGAATAATACAATTTGTAGGCCATATTATGCACAATATATAAACTTTAAAAATATTTTCACAAAAGCATTTAGAAAGAAGAGTACACTTTTTCCATGAGATGTTAAAGTCTTGGTACCTTTTGAGATTTTAGGAAAATGCTTAGTACTGAACATTTTAAGTCTGCAATTAAATATTTCAATTTCTCTAGGTGGCATCCTCATAGAGAGAAGCAATTAGTTTTCTTAAATTTCTTTTCAAAATCTATGTTAATTTTAATTCTCAAAAGGTATCACAGGGGAATTCTAAAAAGCAGTTGTATTTTTAATACCCCATTTTTAAATATCTATAGTGATAAGATACAGTATGCATATGGATATATACTTATCCATTGCCAAGGTATGGATTCAGGTGCTTTCCCCAAATTTCTGTGGGACTCATGAATGCCCCAAACATTGGAGGAGTCATAGGGTACACCTACCACTAGGAAAAATAGATGGAATACCAGCATTCTTCTGGAAGTGGGGCAAGAAACACACAAATGAGGTAAGCACACTGGCTGGGGAAGAGTAAACACACACTCAATCCTCTCCACTTCTGCAGTTCTAACAAACAAACCAACCAAGCTGGTCACAGTGATTTGGAATGCCTGTCAAAGGCTAATATTCTACGCCAGAGTTGAGTAGTGTCTCGCTCCCAGAAAGGAATGGTTCAGAACAAGAGGGAAACACGAGAATCTGCTTCATCTTTTATCCTCCTCTTCATGCTGTGCCCGTGCCAGTGCTACAATCCAGTCCTTGGATTAGCTGCTACGCCCACAAAGGTGAAGATTTTCATTCCTAGTGTACATTTAAGGTCAAACATTCAGAACATGTCCTTTTCTAGACTGACATAGCATTTTAAAGAAAAGTGGAAGAACTAAAGAACAACACATCCCTTCATGACCCCTCTCAGCCACAACTGTCAGTTGTAAGGATCTGAACTCTTAGAGCAACAGCTCACTGAAAATGGAAGGTCTATGGATTCCTTTGATTCAGTGATTTGGTCTCTGTCCAGTGACTCAAGAGAATTTCTCTATGTAATTACCAGAACTCTCAAAGCATCTGTCTTTGACCACCAAAGCCTGACTCCATCAGAAAAAAGAAGTCTTCGATGGTTTCACACTTTGCTTTTCACCAAGCAGACAGTTAAATGATTTATGCTTTAATGACACACACGATTCCTTTGTAACAAAGGGAATTTGGGGCCACTGGGCAATGAACAGCACCAGAATTCTTTGCTTCTTGAAAGGAAGGTGGGGAGGGGAGGGAAAATAGGATTCTCGGGGCTATGATTTTTCCTTGTGGTGGAGGTGGTGCACACTGTCACGCTATATGACAGTAGAACTGTTCTATAGGGTTTTTTTCCTAGGTTGTAATCCTTACTGGAGTAAACCTCCAAATCTTTTATAACTGCCTACCTTTTGATTAGCAGTTAAGCACTTAAACACTTTCTCTAGCTTTTAGTTTCTTCTTATTACTTTTCATGCCTCTGTTCACCACCTTTTCATGTTCTTTCATAAAATAGACTCCTTCTATCAAGTCAAGGAAGACAAACTTCATAAAACTTAAACTACCAATACTTTGATATGTGGGGAAAATACATGATTTAGTAGTACATCCCTGACCTTAACTCAGATCTCTCCCAAACATACATACTGGGGACCAAATCAGTTGGAGGTCCCCTGCCCAAAGATGCTCTAATGAAAGTTACCTGGCCTATACAACTCGTCCAAGAGCTCAAGGATATACCACCCAGCGAGCCAGTGAGAAAGTCTTAACTCTGGGGCAAAATCATATTCCAAAGAAAAAGTATAACTAGTAAATTTAGTTGTATTTTAAAAATTAGTTTTAGATACATGTACATTCATACACACACGCACACACTCCTCCCTTGAATTGTGGTATATATTCTACTTAGCTATTTTGCTAGAGCAGGAAGCTGAGGTTTAAGGAGCACTCATGAGTGAAGCAGGTTGTCATTTCTTTTGTGCTCCCTCCTTTATGTCTGACTATAAAACTTTTTCTAGTACTCAAGCATCTAGATTCCAGAAGATCATGTTTGAAATGGTCTAAGGAGTACAGTGATCTATTGTGCATTTTATATGTCAGCTGTAGTATATGACCCACAGTGACATGAATTCAAGGAAGGTGGGACAAACAGGGGTTGTTGATAGTAAAGCCTCCCTGTGCTCAAGAAAATGCTAGGAAGGAGTCTCTAATTAAAGATTTTTTTTGGATCGGAACACTCCTCTAAATGAAGCTCTGATAGTGAAAGTACTAGTACCCCACTTCTCCACAGAAATCAAGAACAATGTGGCTCTCAGCATTCTTAGTTCCCCTTGGTAAAGTGAGTTACCTTAAGGGTGACAGTGATTACCAGAATTGGTAGTTATGAAGGAAGAAAAAGAAAGTAGGACAGAATGGATCGATCTCCTGGCACTTGTCAGTCAGTTAACAAGAAACCAAAACAACCACTGAAAGAAAAGGCATAGCCAGCTCATTGATGACTAGCCTTATAATTGAGCTGGCTCAAGGTCAACTGGCCTGAGCCAGTCCAATAACAACTAGCCTTAGACTTGAGAGCTTAGGAAAGGAGAAAGAAAAAGGAAGAAACTGAGGAGAGAGGGAAGACAAAGAGAAAAAAGAGGGAGGAAAGAAATAGGAAAATTGGTCAACACTTAGTACTATGTCAAGGTACAAAATTTAAAGTGGGAAGAAAAAGAATCAGCACGAGGAGAAAATGACCTAAGAAATTCATCCTCTCCATCAACAAAATCGTTACTTTCTTTTTTGAGCATACATTTAACAGCAACTTTGGCATTTATCTCTTTGCATTGTTAACCCTCATAATGAAACATAGATTTAAAAAACTAGCAAGTGTTTCTAGTTATACAATAGTTAATATCTTCTTAAGTGCACTGCTTTGATGCCATGATGTAGGAATGCTCACATTTCTTATTTAACTATGTTGACACATTACTTAGATTTCAAGATAGGGTTTTACTATAGGCATTTTTCTTTTTTATTGCCACTGAACTTCTAAATGACCCCAAAATTCAATGTATAGAAAAAATGTCTCTTCTTACAAAGGTCCACATAGATTAGTAAATGTTAGAAAACTCACTCATTCCAGGTTCGGTCAAATAGCTGTAGCGCTTACGTAAAGCTAAAGATGCAAAACTCTGGCGTCTATCTGCTTTCTCGGTCTGAAAAAGAAACAGATGAAACAACTATGTTTCCAGCTCCCCCAAGACACTTTCCCAGTATTGAATCTTGTCAGATGACATGTTAATATACCACTTATCCTTATTTTTCTTATATATTTCCTCTTGGATATGTTAACTTCCTGTCAGGTTTCTACAATCCCACTCCAATGTCTCAACCAAATAATTATCATTTAGCAAATATAAGAGGACCAACACAGCAGACTACAGGGAATTACAAATGAAAGACAAGGATTACAGAGACTTTTGATGCTGACCCGTTAAATTTTCCCAAATCTGTTTATACCGAAAGCACAGAGATCACAATGTACACCCACTCTATGTGAGTACATTCAAGGGAAAAAAGGCACACACAGTTTCTTTCAATTACTCTGTTGTTTCTGAAGGGTAACAGGAATAGAGTGTGGATATGAAGATTTAAAGTAAGTTAATAGTAGTATCAGAAATAATCCTACGGAGTCCTAGAAACTGCTCATTTATTATTCCTGATGTGTGGGTTTGAAAAATCTATCTTGGAGAAATCTTAGGAGATGATGAGAAACTTTTCTTCAAATCTTCATAAGCACTATACATTAAAAAAAATTGGCCAAAATAAACTTAAATATTTATCAAAGGCCAGTGAAGAAAATATTTTATAATACATGAAACATAAGTACAATAAAAATGTCATATACATTACTAACTTAAAAGTTTTTAACACACTGGAGATTAAGGGAATATATATATGTGAAACTAAAAGATATTGACCTATATTTTATAGAGTTCACTGTGTCAAATTTAAAAATGTTTAAGGACTTTTTAAAAATCATTAGCTGGATTATAATTTTGCTGAATCACACATATTGAAGAACTATAAAACTACTGTTTAAGGAAAAAAATGTATGTTCTTTACCTCTCATTGAAGCTACGATCTGCAAAAATATTAACACATTCCCCACACTTCAGCCCTCTCCACTTCTTTTATACATATTTAATTTCTAGTCTACTTCTGATAGAATAAAAAGCAGAAGTGTTCATATTACCTCATCATCTTGATCTGACTCTGTCTCCTTTTGGTTCCAAGATGCATTGCAGAGACAAGGAATATTATAATGGACAGCAGGGAAAAGAATATCAGGATATGAAAAGGACTGAGTAGGGAGTACAAAACGCAAGCTGATTTAGAAAGCAGAGCAAATTAAAAGAAGCCAAAAAAGAATTAAAAATCAAGAACTGTACATCCATGGCAAATTAATGTGTGACATCATTTGAAAGCATAAAAAACTATGAACGTCCAGTGAAGCAGAAGCAATCAACAGAGGACTCCGTTATACAATCCATTGGAATTGGACACCACAATAACAAGACTTAGTCTACACACAAAGACTAATAAAACAACTTAAGAGCTTGAATCAGGTTACAAAGCATTCCTTAATTGCATACCAAGGGCCCATTTTTTCAAGACCAGGGAAAGTTAAAATAACCCAGGATTAAAAGATACCTTTTTATGTGCTGGCAAGGTGATGTTTAAGTTGCACACAGCTGTCTGAGGCAATCCTTTTGTCATCTTTGGTTCTTTCAGAAAAGATAGCCGACCACAGGGCTCTTGGCTGGTGTCTCTAATCTAGAAGAATTTGGGTAGTTGAGTTATACAGACTTCTCTAAACGTCCCTATTTATATCAGAGATAACTGTGTATTTTTTTTTCTAAAGTTCATCAAAAAGCAAGGAGGATTAAGGGAAAAGATGGTGGCAATAATTACATGTTAACCAGGGTTAACTCATTATCTCATTGCTGTCAAGTAGTAACTCCTAGCTGACACTCCATTGGATTTCTGAGGGGGAAAAAATCACAAGGTAGCCTATCTTTCTCCTTGGAGACATAAATGGATCCAAACTGCCAGAGAGGCACTTGCCTTGAGTTTGCTGTGCAATTGCCTATGAACCAGACCACCAGCGTCAGCTTGGGTGGTCACATTTAAACCTGACGAAATTGATAATGCTTGACTCCTAGCCTAACCATGCGATTGTTGAGTTGGTTTGCCTCATTCTGACAACACATTCTGAAGTCTCAGTTTTATGCATTTTCTTCCTGCCTAATATATTTTGTTCACAGCCTCCTATAAAGCCCATTTTAGTAATGGTATCAGCAGAGTGGCATCCACTTCCTAAACAGCATGCCTCTGGAAACTCTATGAACCTTGATAAATGTTGATAGTTATCGAAAGGCTTCAGACCCATCGTTCATGGGGTTGCTATGAGTCATTCTCAATGACAATTAACAGCAGCAGGTAGTAATAAAAATAAGTTATACTTTTTCTTGTTCCATGAGGAGGAAGATTTATCCAGAATGTTCCTGGCATTTATTGGAAATGAAACAAATGCTATATTCAGGTCTCACCCACTTTTTGATTATTAACCACTTTTGATGCATTTTATTGTTCTAGTTTAACTTTATAAATATTTGCTTAAACATTAATGTTTAAAATGAAAATGTTTATAATTGAAAACTGTCTTTACCTTTTAAAGTTTTACCAGTGTGAAAGTATATTTGGGTAGCACTTTGACAAAATACACTATTGTCTTAATGTGCTCAGCTTGGTGGAATACCGCAAAATAAAGCATTAAATCTATTTTATCTTTTAAGAGCATTTTTCCCCCCTTTAACAGAGTCTGTCAAAGATTACTTACTTTGATGGAAAATGGCAGTCTATTTTCTTTAAAAGAATAAAAGTTAAAAACAAGTTGTTGTCCTCCTTTGGTAAGTGGGGCCAGATTTCCGTAACAGTCAACATAAATAGGTTTCCCTTCAAGAACCTATTAGAGTAAAAGAAATGCATAATTAATATTATTTGAGTTAAAATAATTTGGGAATATTAAGTCACATAATGGCAAGGAGCTGCGCTGCAATCCCAAAGACACACGGTTTGAGGCCACCAGCTGCTTCATGGGAGAAAGATAGGCAATCTCCTCCTGTGCAATTAACTGCTTCTGAAAACTTGCTGGAGGGTCAGCTATGGGTTGGTTCCAATTTGATGGTACACAACAACAATATTAAAAACCAGATATGTTTAACATTTGTTTCTCAAGAATTGCCTTCTGTGATGCTGTTGTCTACAGAAAAAAAACCCAACAAAACAAAACGGGTAATTTCATTGGCTCACAATTTGGCAGTTGTGATTGGAAGTCATATTATGAACAGGCAAAATAAGAATTATATATTTATCTCTATACTGGTAACTTGAAACATGTTTTAGAGAGTACCCAAAAGTCACTGTTCTGCAGAGACGTTTAATGAATTTTCTTTACTGCTGGAGTCTTACCTGTCTATGCAGTTAAGTGTTTTCTTGAAAAGAACAAAAAGTTCAATGGACAATTGTCTATTGCATGCTGTTGGGTTGGAACTAACCCATAGCTGACCCTCTAATGGATTTTCAGAGGCAGTGTGTTGAACTGGAGAAGACTGCCCATCTTTTTCCTGGGGAGCAGCTTGTAGATCTGAACTACATACCTTTTCATTGACAGTGCAATTCCTTACAACTATACTACCAGAGCTCCCTATAAAGACAGTAGGTGTGAAAAGAAATCCACTTGTCAAGTCATAATTGACTCATATATGACCCCTCTAAGCTGACTGTTGGGTTTCTGAGTATGTAAATTACATGGGAAGAGATTATCTATCTTTTTCCTGTGGAGCAGACAGTGGATTTCAATTACCAGAGGGGTGTACTTTTTGGGTTAGTAGCCTAACTCCCCATAGAGTGGGCTCCCAGGCAGGGCTCCCTATAACTCAAAGCCACACAAAAATGGAGAATATGTCCTATATTCATTGTTTTTATGTGCTGGCGAGTACAATCACAACGACCCTGGCTGATGTTGTTGTTACTGTTGTTTGTCACTGAGTCAGAAGCAACCCCTTGCTGATCCTCCAGCAGATTTTCAGATTTCCCCAGAGCTCCCACATGACGATCCTATGAAAAACAGATCTGAACTCTGTCCTATCCTGTGCCATCCACATCATTTCTGACAAGCTCAATCCTATTGCCGCAGTCATTGTGTCAATCCATGTGGTTGAGTGTCTTCCTCTCCTTTGCTGTTCCTCCACCTTCCAAAGAGATGACCCTCTTCAAGGAAAAGCCTTTCCTAACAACATACCCAAAGTATATGAGACAAAGTGAAAAATACAGGAGTAGTATATACATTACTACTACTTTTTAAGTAATTAAATTAATTCTCAAACACCTAAAAACAATTTGAGAATGTTTTGATATAGAATTTTTCAAACAGAAAAAAACACTAGATGTTAACACTTAAAGTGAATGATGTTATAAGCCTCAAAATAACCCAGTGTCTCAGCCATGTAATGAAATAAACTTATTTTTATGAACCAAGTACCTCAATATCTTTGCTTCTTGCAACTTCCTCAAAATTCTCTTGTTGCTCTAAAGTCTTGTCCACTTTGTCATCTGTCATACAGAAACACCGCAAAGAAGATTCCACAGGGTCATTCATTTTGGCAAAAACAACAAACTTGGCCATGTATGGGACACATATTAATTCTCTGTACAGTTGCGTGGCTAACCCCACAGTTTCTAAAACTTGGTGGCAGTCGGCAAGCCAAAACCTGAAGAAAACAAAAGTATGAAGGTGAGATGGTTTACTAGTTAAATTTTCTAGAATTAGTCTTGCAGTGTGAATGGCAATGGGAAGGGAGGGAGAAGGAGTACAATTAACAAAAAGGTAAGCTAGTGAAGGCAAAAACAACATACAGTTTGGACACTGTAGTAAGTTTGGACATTGTAGTAAGTTCATTACATTAATCAATAGTAACTGTTATAAAACAAAATGTCTATGAAAAATTGCATGAAGAGCCAATTGGAATTGTATCTTTCACTATAAATAAAAAAATTTCCAATCTTCAAAATATTCCCAATTTAAAAATGGAAATATTTAAGAGAATTATACAAAAAAATAATAACTTATTAATGTAAACAGATGGAAAACAAAAATGTGTATTCAAACACAGAAATTCTTCTTTATTAACTCTGTGTGAAGGATTTTTTCTTTCGTTTTTCCATATAATTTTTGTTTTCTCCTCTCACATACCACGATAAATCTTCTTTTCTACCACACTACTATGTATATGCATAATTTATGTCTTTATTATTGGAGGCAGCAAGAAATTCAGGGGGAATAGGAGAGAAAGGAAAACCTATCCATTTTTATAAATTGTATAAAAACCATTTTGGTGTTGAGTAAAACAATGTTTCCTTTTTAAACAGTAATAAAATGAATACACCAGTGCTTTCTGGAAAGCTTTATTTTCATACCTGGCTGAAACATTGGTTGTAAAGGAGACACAATCCTTTATAAACGTCAAAGGTGTAGTTCCTGTGATGTCTTCCCATTGGGCAGGTGAGGTGCCTCCTGAGAGAATAAGAGAATGATGGTGGGCATAGTTCAGTGGTGATTCATTTTATAAAGCATAATGAGTGGGAATGAGTTTATAAAACAATGTGAGCTATGAATATGCGAAACACAATGTATACGAACTCTCTAAGCAAATCAATATAAAATTTAAGGGGAAAAAAGCAGATAGGCTGGCTTTATGATAGGAGGTGCTCTTTGTCAAAGTTCCATCCTGTTCTTCCTGCACAGCCAGTTACTGGCAGAAAGTCAGTATTTTCAGTTTAATAACATTTACTGAAGGTAGTTTCCCCTCTATTCTCCTTTTATAGTTTGACTGGATTTAGTGTGATCTTGTAGAGTATTGCTAGATTTTAAAAAATTGCCTTTATGTTACAAATGAATGAATGGCTTAAACTTGGGCCAATTAAATTTGTAAGTACATTTTATAAGTGTGCAGATTTGTCATCCCTGAGAAACAATGGTCATATATATTTTAAAGTAGGTAAAGATTTTTAGAAGGTTAAGCAGCTGAGCATTTTATACTGACTGAACCATTTAACTTTCCAAGGAATCAGTCATTAACATTATCCCTCTAACCCATGCTAGCTACCAAAACCTATCTTTAATAATCCTGGATATAGAGTTAAAAATCAGATTAGGAAATCAAATAATAGAGTGAGCTCTGATTTCCAAGCCCTTGCCATAAAATGAATTCTGATAAACCCTGCATGTTTAGTATGTTGGGTCACACCAATGAGTGAAATTTTAATCATGTGCATAGTACTTCCTGCTACTAATACTCAGGGTACTTTCTTTCCCCCGAGAATCCATCCAATTTTCAGGTAGTCTAAAGAGTGTGGCTAGATCTACTGATTCTGTCTAGACTACAGAGAAATTGGCTGACTGTTCCAGTTGACTCAAGATATCTCAAAAGTTGTCTATTTCTATAATCTTTTTATCAGAGAACAGGGAGTTGGACAATGAGATCACTACATTTAAATTGTGAGACCAGTACCTTAAACCATTTCAGGAGTAATAGGGAAGAGGTGACAGAAAAGTAGTACACATTTTTATTGTCCCTTTTCTAATAATGTTGGCAGGGATGTTTCCAAGGCATGGATGTTTTCAAAGGTGCAAGGCCTCTGTACAGAAACCTTGTCAGTGCTGGTGTCCTTAGAGAGTATGGTAACAATTCAACCAAACCTGTGATGCTACAGAGAAGGCGCAGATTAGGCGTGGTGTCCCCCTTGTACCCATTGGATACGCCTTCTCCTGAAGGTGGGGGCACTGGAATGGTCATTGTGATTGGTTTATGAAATTTCCTTCTTCTTGGTTCCACAGTAACAATTGGGCTAAACGTTGCTTTATTTCCAAGAATCTTTTTCACAATTTCATCTGGAACAGGTTGAGCCTAGAGGTGGAGAAAGATCTTTAAATGAAAGTGACTGGGGTTTTTTGTTGTTGTTGTTTTTTTTTTTAATCATCAGAATTGTTGTTGTTTTTTTTTTAATCATCAGAAAGTGACTGAGACAAAGTTTAGAGTGAAAATACACAACCAACAATAACAAGAACATGTCCCTCCCTCTTTTTTATATCTTCTCTCACTACTTAAAACTTGTCAATACTGTAGGATATCTATGCACACTATACTCAGCATTGAGTATTTTCTCCAAAAGAACAGACTCAACTCTCACAAGAGAAGCCTCTTAGACTGATTCTCCAAAGTAGAGGACAACAAATATTGAATTCTGCATATTTGAAAACTGTGGAAGATCTTTAATAAAACATTTCAAAGATAGCCCTGTCCCTGATAAAAAGTGAGGCTTCACATATTTAACAAAAGATGGTAAAAATGTCAAAGGATTTAAATTCTAGACTACCAATTTAACTTCTTTCTTTTAGGCAGAGAAGAGGGCCTTCAACATCTGAAATGTAAAGTGCTTTCTTTCATATCACCTGTTTACTGAAGGCCTCTCAAAAACCCAGTGACTCCTGTGGGCATGAGATCTAAGCTCACAGAAACAGCACAGGCCTTCAGTCAAACTACTGAAGTTTATTATCCACACACATTAATTTATTTTCAGGTTATTTTCATCATTCCACTAGAAATAGAACTAGGTATAGTCTGATAGACATGAATAAGTACAAGGAGGACCATTCTTACTAAATTTCCGATTAACTTTCCAAACCAAGTTTGGACATAAACCAGCATTTATGATTAATTTAAAATCAAACTAAAACTGGCAAAAAAGAAATGAGGATTCCAAGTTTCACTATTTATGATTTTTATGTGGTATATTACAAAGCAAACCATATTTTTTCAAAATAGTATTACTCACTCTTTGGTGCTGCTGTTGCCTCATATGCCATTGAGTTGTGGTTAAAAATATCATCTTTCATCAGAAACCATGTGAAACTTTTAAACACTAAAACCTTTCAATTTGTACATATTTAATAAGTCACTAAGCCAATTTAGGGCTTTAACTTAGTACTTAAGCTAAGTAGTTTAATGATGCCTAAAATGGTCTAATGCATTATTTAGAAAAATCATTAAAGAATAAATTAAGGTGACTTTTCCAAAGCAGAACAACCTGTACATGTGGATGGAAGAAAAGAACTTTTTTTGACCATTACCTGGAGGCCCACTCGAATTCGTTTGGTTAAGGCACCCTCTGGAAAAGAAGCCTGTACGAGGGGCACCGTGGTACTGCTCAGAATGCCACCTTCAGGACCAATCTGGTTGCTTTCCTGCTTAATCCGTGAAACCACTGCAAAGTACTGGGGGAAATCCTTAGTAATAATCCGGCAGATACGCTTTTTCCCTAGCTCCTCTGGGCTATCAAGTTCTGAAAAGATAAATGGAAAAGGAATGAAAAAAATTACCTTATGTACAAAAAACTCAAAGCAAACTGATATGGAATTTAAAGTAAACATGATTTCTATCCAATAGTATAAACACAGTTTTTATGCTAAAGAGAAATGGTAGTGATTTTTAAAATGGCATCAACTTTTGTAAAAATATCGCACAGCTTTACCCAGATAGTATTTGTGGGAAGATCTTTTTTACTGAGGAGAAACAAATTGGCTTTTTAATGTAGACAGGCAATTTTCCACCTCACCCAGGATTATTTGCAAATTCTACCCTCAAGCTGCCAAAAGCAGGAATGAGTCACAAAGAAGTGGGCCACACAAGAAAGTAAATAAGGGCTTAACTATGGCTGGCTGAAAGTGCCTAGGATGAAAGTTTAAAGCCTTTTAAAATGTTCTTTACTCAGATGATTAGAACTACCATCAATAATTTTCATCTACCCTCCGAGAGCCCTCATATATCAAATTCAACATATCTACAAATGAAGATAGGTTTATCACAGTTTACCTCCAAATCTACTTCTTCATTCTACTGCAGGCCTCATGTTGATAATAAAAAAACCACAGTTTGCCCAATCTTCCAGTTTAACAGCTTTAACTTTGCTTCATGTTGTTGTTAAGTGCCATCGAGTTGAGTACGACTCTTAGTTACCCTGTGAACAACAGATCCTGTGCCACCCTTATCCTCTCTGGTATACTTGATTGCACTGTAGCACCTACTGAGGGTCTTCCTCTCTTTGCTGACCCTCCGTCTTTCCAAGAACAATGTCCTTTTCCAAAAGATAGTCACTCCTAACAACATGCCCAAAGTATGTAAGATGAAGCTTCTGTGCCTCTAAAGTGCATTCTAACTTTCTCTAAGACATATCTGTTTGTTCCCTTGGTAGTCCATGAGACACTAAATATTGTTCTCTAACACAAATCAAAGGCAACAATCCTTCTCCTGTGATCTTGCTTCACTGTCAAGCTCTCAAATGCACAGCAGGTGAGTGAAAAGACCATGGCCTCAATCAGGTGCACCCTAGTCTTTAAGCTGACATAATTCCACTTCACTATTCTGGTGAGGTCCCTGACAGCAGACTTTCTCAGTGCCATACAACTTTTGATTTCTTGACTGCTGGCACCAATAGTGTTGAGTGTGGATCCAAGCAAGTTGAAATCATTGAAAACATGAACCTTTTCTTTATCAGTTATGATGTTGCCTCTTCGCCCAGTGTTGAAGATCTTTGTTTACTTGGTGTTGAGTTATAATCCATATTGCAGGCTTTGATCTCCTGCAACAAGTGTTGCAAGTCCTTTTGACTTTCAACAAGCAGGACTGTGTCACATGCATAATGAAAGCTGTCGATGAGTCTTCCTCCTATCCTGCTACCACATCCTTCTTCATGAAGCCCAGCTTCCTGAATGATTTGTTCAGCATATAGACTGAACAGGTATGGAGAGAGGATATAGCCCTGACACATACCTTCATTGATGTTAAACCATGCAATGTTTCTTTGTTCTGTTCATAAAAGAGCTTCTTGGTCTAGATATAGGTTTTGTATAAGCGCAATTAAGTATTCTAGAATTCCCATTTTTCTCAATGCTAGTCAAAGTTTTGTTATAATTCACAAATTACAAAATTATTATTTTGTTTTAATGTTTTTGCATAGTCAATAAAGTACAAATAGACAATCTTCTGTTATTTTCTTATGTCCACCAAGATCTAGTGACAATGATATCCTTGGTGCCATGGCATCTTCTAAGCACAGCGTGAACTGGGTTTTCCCCTCATACTCAATGGTAAAAGTCCAGTCGATTCTCTTTGAAAATGGCTCATTTGCCTGCCACCATTTTTCTTCAGGCTTTATTATGCTTTGCTTAGATTAATTACTGAGACCACTGCCATGCATTCCCAGTCTCCCTTCCTTACTCCACCTTACTTCACCCTACAGTGCAGCAAGATGGATTCTTTTCTAAAAGTTTATTTTTTTTTAAATTCTGGTAATTTAATGGAAATAAGTGATTTCTGAAACCATGTAGACTAATAAATATTTGAGATATGCCAAGAATAGTTTGCAAAGTAGGTTTGAGCGAATCTATCTCATAAGACATTAAAGTTTAGAAGTAGTATAATAAAACTGTATGGTACTAATATAAAAGTAGGAGCAAAAGGATGAAGAATATAGGATTTTATATGTCTGTATACAAATATACTATATATCTGTAAATAACTATATATTAATGTTTCTAGATTAAGGTACTTAAATTGAATCCTCATATTTACATTTTAAATCACTCAAGAAGTGATGATTTCCTTTAAAAAAGCTGATGATATAATTGAAAATGTATTTGGAAGAAAACAAAGCTAAATCACAACGCCTTGCTGTATGTAGTTAGGTACCATCGAGCTGAACTCCCAGTTGACTTTCGAGCAGGTTTTCAGAGGCAGTAAATCTCACAGGAGTCGTCTGCCCACCTTCCTCCTGTAGAGCAGCTGGCCGATCTCAACCACGTTCCTCTGGATTGGCAGCGATGCTCCTTATCACTAAGCCTACCTCTTGCCACATATAAACAAAAATTCCAGTTGGGTAAAATATTTAACTAATTCTAAAAAAAATACCCTATGATATGCAGGTGATACAACCTTGCTTGCTGAAATGGAAGACAACCTGAAGCATGTGCTGCAGAAGGTCAAGGACTGTATGTAGTCTTCAATATAAACTGAAGCTCAACATCAAGAAGACAAAGATTCTCACCACTGGGCCAATTGCTAGCACCATGGTAGATAGAGAAGAGATTGAGGTTGTTAGCAACTACAGCTTGCTCAGCTCCACAATGAACACCAGCAGTCAGGAAATCAAAAGATTGCACTGGGAAAATCTGCTGTCAGGGACCTCTTCCAAGTACTGAAAAGCAATGATATCAGTCTAGAGACAAAGGTGTGCCTAATCCAGGCCATGGTCTTTGCAATTACTTGTTATGCTTCAGAGATCTGGATAATGACTAATAATGACAAAAGAAGAATTGATACTTTGAGTTATGGTGCTGGAAAAGAGTCTTGAACATACCATGGACTGCCAAGGGATAGGTCTGTCTTGAAGAAGGTGAAACCAAGTCTTTCCTTAGAGGCTAGAATTTTGAAGCTCCAGCTTACATATTTTGGCCAGGAAAGACCAGTCCTTGGAGAAGGACATCATGTGCAGAAGGGTGCAGCGACAGACAGGAGAGGAAGACTCCAGATGAGATGGGTCAATACAGTAACTGGGGCACTGAGGGTTGGTGTGTTGGAATTTTTTTAAAAATTCACTTAGTATAGAAATTAAGTGTTGGATAAACTGGGGGTCATTATTAAAAGATAAATCCATTCTGCTGAATTTAGCTGCAAAATGTATAGAACACCACAGCCCACTATTCCCACTGAAACACTTTGGAAAACTAGATATTCCTCTCTCTAGGATGAAAATTCCATTCTCTATGAATATACAACTCCAACAATAAAATGGATTGACATGGTGACCGCAACAGTATGGGTTTAAGCACTGCAGAGAATGTGAGGCTGGCTCAGGATTGGGCAGGGCTTCAGTCTCCTTAAAATAGGATCATTCTGAGTCAGTGACAACTCAATGGCACCTAACAACAGCAGAGCAACACCCATTTGTGATGCTATGGGACAAAACAAAACAATTTCTACAGCTGAGCCTCACTTCCGGGACATAGGAATACAAGTTTAATTTCAAGGCTTTTAAATTTTTATTTTATTTTGCAATGATGTTTGATGTAATAAGCAAGTACAAAGGTAACAATATGATTTTGCAATTTTAGTAATACAACTTATGCTCTTATTCAGTTCTAACATCTGCTTTATGTTCTCCTGTATTAACATTATTTATCATCCTTAATTACCTAGGATTTGAACCTCCTCTGTTATCCAGATTTTCACAATGTAAGAAGTGTTGGCAGTGAAGGCAGACTATATGAGAACTGTGACAGATATCTTGTTTTTTCAGTCTACAAGATTTTTAAAATCCTATGTTTTAGGTCATTAAAAATCTGAATTTCTAACCATTTATCAAGTGTTATAAAAACGTTGAGAAATGTGAGTTTTAAAAAAATTTACTTTCTATGTTTATGTTTGACCCCTTTGTGACTATAACTTATCCCAGAACTTCCATAGCTTCTTGACTTGGTTGTAGTTTCTCTTCAGAAAGATGTTTTTTCCTACATGACATTCATTTATATTTTGGGTGTGCATCACTCAACTGAAGAAATATGTCTTCAAAAGTGGGGCACCTTTGCTGTATTTATGTCTCCATTTATTGAACACATTATGATGAAGTGACACTCTGATGAAGATTTGTTATATGCCCTGCACGTAACTGCTGTCACCAAGAACCAGTCCTTGTCACTTTACAGTGCTGCATGGATGAGTGGAAAATCCAAGATATTCCCCAAAACAGTAGGCCAGGTACTGTGGATGACTTCACCAGAGAGATCTCATTTAGTCCATTACCGTAGACCGTAATAGGTGGCTCCCTAAAAGACATGGCCATGTCCTCCTGATTGCCAGAATTTGTGAATGCGGCCTTATGTTGAGAAAGGTTCTTTGCATCTGTATCTGAATTATAGATCCTGAGATGAGATAATCCTTGATAATCAAGGTGGACAGTAAATTTATTGAGAGTCCTTGTAGGAGTTGCACAGAGGAGATGCAGACAGAGAATAGAAGGCCACGTAAACATAGACATTGAATGAAGTGAGCTGTCACAAGGCAAGGAATAGCAACAACCACTAGCAACTAGAAGAGGCAACGAATAATTCTATCCAAGACTTTTTAGGGATTGAAGCTCTGTGAGTGCCTTGGTTTTGGGATTCTTCATCCTAGAGAGGGTTAAACTAGGCTGCTCCTTGGAGGCAAATATTCTGAAGCTTCATCTGACATACTTTGGACATGTTGCAAGGGAGGGAACAGTCCTTGGAGAAGGATGTCATGCTTGGG